CATTTTTGCAATATTTATTCTTCCTAACCATGAGCATGGAATGTTTTTCCATCTGTTTGTGTCCTCTCTTATTTCCTTGAGCAGTGGTTTGTAGTTTTCCTTGAAGAGGTTCTTTACATCCTTTGATAGTTGTATTCCCAGGTATTTTATTCTCTTTGTAGCAATTGTGAATGGGAGTTCCCTCTTGATTTGGATCTCTGTTTGTCTGTTATTGCTATGTAGGAATGCTTGTGATTTTTGCACATTGATTTTGTATCCTGAGACTTTGCTGAAGTTACTTATCAGTTTGAGAAGATTATGGGCTGAGACAATGGGGTCTTCTAGATATACAATCATGTCATCTGCAAATAGAGACAGTTTGACTTCCTCCTTTCCTAATCAAATATGCTTTATTTCTTTTCTTGCCTGATCACTCTGGCTAGAACTTCCAATACTATGTTGAATAGGAGTGGTGAGAGAGGGCATCCTTGTCTAGTGCCTGATTTCAAAGGGAATTCTTCCAGCTTTTGCCCGTTCAGTATGATATCGGCTGCAGGTTTGTCATATATAGCTTTTATCATTTTATGATACGTTCCATCAATACCTGGTTTATTAAGAGTTTTTAGCATGAAGGGCTGTTGAATTTTATCGAAGGCCTTCTGTGCATCTATTGAGATAATCATGTGGTTTTTGTCTTTGTTTCCATTTATGTGATGGATTACTTTTATGGATTTGTGTATGTTGAACCAGCCTTGCATCCCCGGGATGAAGCCTACTTGGTTGTGATGGATAAGCTGCTTGATGTGCTGTTGCAATCTGTTTGCCAGTATTTTACTGAAGATTTTTGCATTGATGTTCATCATGGATATTGGCCTGAAGTTTTCTTTTTTAGTTGAGTTTCTGCCTGGTTTTGGTATCATGATGATGTTGGTCTCATAAAATGAGTTAGGGAGGATCCCCTCCTTTTGTATTGTTTGATACAGTTTCAGAAGGAATGGAACCAGCTCCTCTTTGTACGTCTGGCAGAATTTGGCTGTGAACCTGTCTGGACCTGGACTTTTTTTGATTGGAGGCTGTTGATTGCTGCCTCTACTTAAGCCCTTGTTATTGGTCTATTCAGGGTTTCAGCTTCCTCCTGGTTTAGTTTTGGTAGAGTCCAAGTGTCTAGAAATTTATCCATTTCTTCCTGGTTTACTGGTTTATGTGAGTAGAGCTGTTTGTAGTAATCTCTGATGGTAGTTTGTATTTCTGTGGTATCTGTGGCGATATCCTCTTTATCATTTTTTATTGCATCTATTTGATTCTTCTCCCTTTTCTTTTTTATTAATCTGGCTAGTGGTCTGTCTATTTTGTTGATCTTTTCAAAAAACCAGCTCCTGGATTTATTATTTTTCTCAAGGGTTTTTTGTGTCTCTATCTCCTTCAGTTCTGCTCTATTCTTAGTTATCTCTTGTCTTCTGCTAGCTTTTGAGTTTTTTTGATCTTGTTCCTCTAGTTCTTTCAATTTTGATGATAGCGTGTCAATTTTAGATCTTTCCTCTCTTCTCTGGTGGGCATTTATTGCTATAAATTTCCCTCTCAATACTGCTTTAAAGGTGTCCCAGAGATTCTGGTAAGTTTTGTCTTCATTCTGATTGGTTTTGAAGAACATCTTTATTTCTGCCTTCATTTCACTGTTTATCCAGTCAACATTCAGAAGCAAGTTGTTCGGTTTCCAAGTGGTTGTGCAGGTTTGAGTGTGTTTCTTGATCCTGAGTTCTAGTCTGATTGTGCTGTGGTCTGATAGACTGTTTGTTATGATTTCTGTTCTTTTGCATTTGCTGAGGAGCGATTTGTTTCCATTGATGTGGTCAATTTTAGAGTAAGTGCAATGTGGTGCTGAGAAGAATGTGTATTCTGTGGATTTGGGATGGAGCGTTCTGTATATGTCTATTAGATCTGCTTGGTCCAGCTCTGCATTCAAGTCCTGGATATTCTTGTTAATTTTCTGTCTCATTGATCTGTCTAATATTGACAGTGGAGTATTGAAGTCTCCCACTATTATTGTGTGGGAGTCTAAATCTTGTTTTAAGTCATTAAGAATTTGCTTTATGTATCTGGGTGCTCCTGTGTTGGGGGCATATGTATTTAGGATAGTTAGCTCTTCCTGTTGGATTGATCCTTTTACCATTATGTAATGTCCTTATTTGTCTCTTTTGATCTTTGCTGGTTTGAAGTCCATTTTATCAGAGACTAGGATTGCAACCTCTGCTTTTTCTGGTTCTCCATTTACTTGGTAAATCTTCTTCCATCCCTTTATTTTGAGTCAATATGTGTCTTTGTATGTGAGATGGGTTTCTTGAATACAGCACACCGATGGGTTCTGACTTTTTATCCATTTTGCCACTCTGTGTCTTTTGATTGGGACGTTTAGGCCATTTACATTCAATGTTAATATTGTTATGTGTGAATTTGATCCTGCCATTTTGTTACTTGCTGTTTTTTTTTCTCATTAGTTAACTCATTTTCTTCATTGCATTTTTGGCCTTTGCCAACTGGTTTGCTTTTGCAGTGACTGGTACTTGTTCCTTTCCATGTTTAGTGTTTCTTTCAGGAGCTCTTGTAGTGCAGGTCTGGTGGTGACAAAATCTCTCAATAATTGCTTGTCTGTAAAGGATTTTATTTCTCCTTCACCTATGAAGCTTAGTTTGGCTGGATATGAGATTCTGGGTGAAAGTTCTTTTCTTTAAGGATGTTGAATATTGGCCCCCACTCTCTTCTGGCTTGTAGGGCTTCTGCTGAGATATCTGCTGTGAGTCTGATTGGCTTCCCTCTGTGGGTGACCTGACCTTTCTCTCTGGCTGCCCTTAGCATTTTTTCCTTTATTTCGACCCTGGTGAATCTGACGATTATGTGCCTTGAGGTTGCTCTTCTTGAGGAATGTCTTTGTGGAGTTCTCTGTATTTCTTGAATTTGAAATTT